CAAATTTCCAGGGTCGCCACACCAACCTGCTGGTACTGTTTGGTGGCGCTACTTGCTGCATAAGCCACTCTAATTTCTTTTTCTCCATTTGTTATAACCTGCTTACTTTTAGCCCTAGCCATGGTTCCAATGAATAAAAGAAATGCTTCTCGTTGTGTAAAGCACCTACACAGTACATTGTCCATTAAAGATAAGGTGGCTTTGAAGCCACTGTCGGTTGCCTTGAGCTCAGTCTCGTGATGCAGGAAAATATTCTTTATTATTACGCTAATATAAACACTATAGCTTATTGCCTATCACAGTTGATCTAATATGACATAATAAACAATATAAATAGCATAAAACATGTTAAATACTCCAGAATGAATAATATTTGGCATAATACCGAGCAGTTCGACGGAGGTACGAAGAGGATATGGTATACAAATACCATTCTCCTATCCTTGTCTTGGGGGCTTATATTAGAGAAACCAAGTGTAGCACAGGGCTAATTGTGATATACACTCGTACTGTACCATAAACCTTAAGCAAAAGTTATTTTCTCTCTATAGATTATCACACATAGCAGCATATATGTAGAGAACCTAAGATAACCCAAAAAAGTCAGACAACGTGGCTTACTTCTAGTACCTGGCTTGGGTTAGCCATATATGATTTTTGGTAAATATTCAATTCCCAGCCAGGGTAAAAACATTAGGTGTGTTTCTTTACACCTGTTGTCTATGTTCGCCCATCAGTAAATGGATACCTGGGTGTTAGTCGACTGGTGTGGGTGTTATCCTGGGACACTGACCTAAGTTGCTTGAAATACTCTACATAACAAGCGGCTTTCTTTATAGTAGTATGTCGCTGATGTCAGCTAGGCCTGTATACCTTGTACATGTACGTGTAGTAAATAAAGATATTATTATTATTATTGCTGTTGTTGCTATTTTCTCAGTTGTTTGTTGGGTTATCTTATTGAAACTTGGGCAATATATGATGGAATGATACTTCTTAACATACACCAAAAATTAAAGAAATCAGACCATAAATAGCGTAGTTCACTTCTCTGCCATTAGCGGCCGCTTAGCGGTATATTTTTGTATGGTTGTTATGGTTATATTCTCATTTTCTCGGTCTCATTTGATAGAACGAAAGATATATTACAGAAATAGATATGATTTTGATTGTTTTCATGATGAAAAGTACCTTGAAATTGCACTCACAGCGAAAATGTTCTCTTCTTTAGCGAAGCTCAAGAGTAAACAAATGACGTCACCGTCCAATATCTGTCCGCCTGCCAGTCCAAATTCCAATACGGAGTCAAGAATGGTTTGACAATACTATTTATACAGTTATTACAATAATGCAGCAGTCTGCATAACAGTAAATCTTCTATTTTTTTGTGAATAAAAATTCCAAATGGAAAGCAAGAGTAATATAAGAGGGGCCTGGAGCTGTGACTAATGAACAGAGAAAATGTTATTTTAGTGCTAGGAATGTCTGCATTGTTTATTCTGGACCCTATTTTGAAATTGGCATCTAATGAAATTTGTGTGAAATTGGCCAAATTGCTAATTTCTGACCACTATATTGGGTAGTTGAAATAAGTGAATGGGCGATTTCATTCAATTCAATTCAATTCAATTCAAATTCAATTCAAACTTTATTCTCTATAAGTATTACAATGCTGAGTTTACAGAATTTGGTTATTGTGTGGTTTACATGTAGTAAAATAATAATTACAGAGTGTACCACTAGAACGCCTAGCATGGCTAGGCATTTCGGGCAGACTTATATTAAATCTTAGGTTTAAAATGTTACAGAATTATGAGATAAGATAAGATAAGATTTCGTTCAGATTTTTAACCCCGGAGGGTTAGCCACCCAGGATAACCCAAGAAAGTCAGTGCGTCATCGAGGACTGTAACTTATTTCCATTGGGGTCCTTAATCTTGTCCCCCAGGATGCGACCCACACCAGTCGACTAACACCCAGGCACCTATTTGCTGCTAGGTGAACAGGACAATAGGTGTAAGGAAACGTGCCGGAATTTCCACCCGCCGGAATCGAACCCGGGCCCTCCGTGTGTGAAGCGGGAGCTTTAGCCACCAGGCCACCGGGCCACATAGATAAGTTGGTATTATGGCTAAGTGACTAAATACTAGTTGTGAGTTTAGCAATGTGAATGCTTTTGTTTTGGCACTATACATAGTTTCAGTATTGGAGTATCACAGGCCAACTTATGACTAGTTAAGATTCATTATTTTGAGATTGAGATTGATATTTCTGTTTATGGTCAAATGGGTGAGTGAGTGTAAGTGTGAACCACCAGGTGGTATTCGTATTATTAGCTGACAGGGTGTATCAGGGAGATAAGATGTTTTCTGATGGTAGTTTTGAAGGTGATGAATGTGTCTGCAGTTTTGGAATTTTCAGGTAGGGTGTTCCAGATTTTAGGGCCTTTGACATGCATTGAATTTTTGTAAAGGTTTAGTCGGACACGGGGAATGTCATAGAGATGTCTGTGTCTGGTGTTGTGCCTGTGGGTTCTGTCACTCAATCCCTCTCATGGAAGGTTCCTTGATGTTGGTGAGGGGCTCTTGATTTAGGGAATTGGATCTGTGCTCCAGTTCCCCAAATTAAGCCTGAATGCCTTCCACATTCCCCCCCTCCAGGCACTGTAGAATCCTACGGGTTTAGTGCTTCCCCCTTGATTATAATAATAATTGTACTCAGTTGACAGACTAGACGTAAGTAAATAAGTAAGTTTATTCAGGTATACACAAATACAGTTACATAGATCATCATACATAGCAGTGTATGTATAGAGAACCTGGGATAACCCATGAAAGTCAGTCAAAGTGACTTATTTCCAATACCTGGCTTGGGCTTGCCATATATGATTTTTGGTAAATATTTTTTTCTCTCAGTTGTTTGTTGGGCTGTCTTATTGAAACTTGGGCAATGTATGATGGAAAGATGCTTCTTAACATACACCAAAAATAAAAAAGACGGGCGATAAATAAGGGAATTCACTTGTCAGCCATTAGCCGCCTCTTTGCGGTATATTTTTGTATGGTTTTTATGGTTGTATTCTTGCTTTTTTGGTCTCGTTTGATAGAATGGAAGATATGTTACAGAAATAGACATGATTTTGATTGCTTTCATGAAGAAAAGTACCTTGAAATTGAGCTCAAAGTAGTGGAAATGTTTGATTTTTGCCGATTTACAATGAACTTTGTGTAAGTCAAGTTGGTTAATTTTATTAAGTGTATTCTAACATAACCACTCTGTAATCCGGCAAACTCAGTAATCCGGCACACTGCAGGTCCCAATGGTGCCGGATTTGTGATGGAGGACCTGTATATGAAAAACAGTACAGAATGGGTCTAATAACAAAGGATCTGGCAAAATGTTACTTGTCATTACTAACTAATCTAATAAGGAGGTCAAGATGTTACGACAACAGATTTTATGACTTAAGTGGTGATATGAAAAGGACCTGGAAAACCTTATCTGAAATTCTAGGATCTAAAAAAGCTGTCTCAAAACAGAATGATTAACTTAACTAAACCAGAAGACCCTCTCCTTCAGCACTATTACAACCCAGGCTTCCAAATGGCCTGTTACCCCGGGTGTAATGGGAGCAAAATAAACACAGTAGAAAAAGTGTAGACTTATATTATCCTTCACCAATTTAGAACAGCAATATGTACACTATGTACAGTGATAAGTATAGTGCACTCCACGGTAAGCAAGGCAGAAATAGAAGCCACAAGATAGCAGACCATGCTTCAACCAGCTCTAGAATGGGAATGACAAGGGCAGACAGGAGAGCGGTACCCACATAACCTCTGCGATTGCTAAAACCATCTTATTGGCTAGAACCTGGTCACTAGTTGAACGACGGGGCCCCATCATCAACTCTTAGCAACCTGGTTTGCTGGTTGGGGGAGATAGCCTGTAAATGAGGGTGTGTACATGCGCCGAATAAAGGTTACGTACTCTTTGCATGCCACAAACACCAATACTACCAACAAACTTAATGTCTTTTTCTTGACTGTAGGAACAAAGCTAGCAAGTAAAATCCAAACTCAAACATTCAATCAAAAGACTACCTCACTGGTAACTACCCAAATACATACTCTATTTCTATCCCCAACAAACCCTACTGAAATCTTAATCATCAAAACACTAAAGAACAATCAATCGATCAAGTTTATTTTCTATAAAGATTACAATGCGGGGTTTACATATTATTGGATATTGTGTGGTTTACATATTTTGAAATACTAATTGCAGAGAGAGCCTCTGTCACACCTAGGTGTATTGTCACTAATTACTGCAACTCTTTTTAACAAATCCATTGAGTCTTCCACCTTCCCATACATACTCAAGACAGGAAGAGTCACCCCGATCCTCAAAGGAGGTGATCCAACTGAATTGAACAATTATAGGCCTATATCAAACTTGCCCCTACTATCTAAAATCTTTGAAAAATTAATTTACAAACAAGTGTTCCCCTGCTTAGTATCCCACAACATACTTAGCCCCTGTCAGTTTGGATTTAGACTAAAAAAAAGTACTAACGATGCAATTATACATATGCTTAACCCTTTCAGGGTCTGTGCCGTAGATCTACGACTTTATGTTGAGGGTTCAAACCATAGATTTATGCCAAAATTCTAGCGGTTTCAAATTTAGCGCGAGAAGGCTGGTAGGCCTACATCTGAGAGAATGGGTCTGGGTGGCCAGTGCGCGCACTATAGAAAAAATCTGGATGCCCGCATGGCATTGTGGGAATGCCACCAAAGTAGCTTTGTTCACCATGCCTGGCGGCAAGGAAGCTCTCACTCCCCACTCACTCTCCGGGCAAATTCTGACTCTCTTCTTCACAACTTACAGTTCTAAGACTTATGGAAGTGGATCTGAAGAGGAATTCTATGGTTTTGAACCATATGGTACCATTGTACCATATGGTACAATGGTACCATATGGTACAATGGTACCATATGGTACAATGGTACCATATGGTACAGGGACCCTAATGGAAATGAATCTGTCTGACTTTTTTTTGGATTATCCTAGGTTCTCCAAACATATGCTGCTAAGTATGATAATCGATGTTACTTTATTTGTGTATACCTAAATAAACTTACAATGCCACATGTGCTTGAGTAAGTTTATTCAGGTGTACACAAATACAGTTACATAGATTATCATACATAGCAGCATATGTATAAAATCCTAGGATAACCCAAAAAAGTCAAGGTGACTTATTTCCATAGGGATCCCTGTGTCTGTACCATATGGTGTCCTGTATCATATGGTACCCTGCACCATATGGTGTCCTGTACTGTATGGTATCCTGTGCCATATGGTACCTTGTGCCATAAGGTACCTTGTGCCATAAGGTACCTTGCACCATATGGTACCCTGCACTATATGGTACCCTGCACCATATGGTATCCTGTACTGTATGGTATCTTATACCATATAGTACAGTGTACCATATGGTACCCTGTAACATATGATACCATGTACCATATAGTCAATAGGTGGTGTTGATGCCACGAGACACCAGCCAAGACTGAGTGAGTGGCGACGCAAGCTAGCTAGTGACTCGGCAGTTTCCAAGACAAAGATCTTTGTCATCCACCTCAAGGAACATGTCGAGTGGCTGTACATTTGTAAATACAGTGGTCCCTCGTTGTTCGTAATTAATCCGTTCCTGGAGCCATTACTATAAACGAAATTTACGATTTACGAATCAATTTTCCCCATAAGAAATAATGTAAATACAATTAATCCGTTCCTGAGACCCAGAAGTATTAAAACAAAAAATTTTTTAACATGAAATATGCATGTAGCACATAAACAATACAATGGGAAATGATGAATGAAACATTAACAGCGTAACACTTACCTTTATTGGAGATTCTTCTTAGTGTATGGGAGACTGGAGGAGGACAGAGAGTGGATTGTTTACAGTTTGGAAGGGGAATCCCCTTCCATCAACACCTCAGGTACCATTTGCTTTTCTGGGGTTGCTTCTCTTCTCTGTTTCTTAATGCCACTAGGACCACCTTGAGAGTCACTGGAGTCCTGTCTCACAAAATAACTGTGGAGAGAGCTCTGTTTCTGGCATCTCTTTAACACTTCCCTAAAATGGCCCAAGACTTTGTCACTGTAAATGTTGCTAACCTGGCTTGCAACAACCTTGTTAGGGTGATGTTTCTCCATAAAGCTTTCCATCTTACCCCACATAGTAAAAATCTCTCTAATTTCTGAAGAAGGCACCTTCTTCCATCTCTCTTCCTCCTCCTCTGCAGCAAGATTCTGAGCTGCGATGTGTTGCTCTTCCTGCTGAAGTTCTTGCAGCTCCTCAGTGGTGAGCTCTTCATTGTGGTTTTCCACCAATTCTTCCACATCCTCCAAACTCACATCCAACCCCATGGAACTCCCCAGTGCCACAATTGATTTTACAACAGACATAGGCTCATTAGGGTCAGTCCCAAATTCTTCAAAATCCCTCATGTCGACACAATCTGGCCACAATTTTCTCCAGGCAGAGTTCAAAGTCCTGGTAGTCACTCCCTCCCAAGCCATACCTATAAGGGTTATGCAGTGGAGGATGCTGAAGTGTTCTCTCCAAAATTCCCTTAGGGTCAAGTGAGTGTCTGGTCACGGTCAAGCACCTGTGAAACATTGCTTTTGTGTAGACTTTTTTAAAGTTTGCAATAACCTGCTGGTCCATGGGTTGGAGGAGAGGAGTGGTATTTGGGGGCAAGAACCTTACTGTGATGAACCCAAACTCCTCGAAAATTAGGTCATCCAAGTTTGGAGGATGAGCAGGTGCATTGTCCATTACTAGCAGGCACTTGAGATCCAATTTCTTTTCCAGGAGATACTCCTTCACACTAGGGCCAAACACTTCATTGAACCACTCGACGAAAATTTCCCTCATGACCCATGCCTTACTATTAGATTTCCAAAACACACACAGTTTACTCTTCATAACATTGTTTTTCCTGAACACTCTGGGATTTTCAGAATGGTACACTAGCATTAGCACAGAACATTAGCATCAGCCTGTCTTTTATAGGCTTGTGTCCTGGCATTGCCTTTTCCTCTTGTGTAATGAAGGTCCTCTTTGGCATTTTCTTCCAAAAGAGGCCTGTTTCGTCACAATTGAACACTTGTTCAGGTTTCAGTCCTTCAGCCTCTATGTACTCCTGGAATTCATGCACATATTTTTCAGCCGCCTTGTGGTCCGAACTGGCAGCCTCACCAAGCCTTACCACACTGTGTATGCCAGTACGGTTCTTAAATCTCTCAAACCAGCCCTTGCTGGCCTTAAATTCACTCACTTCACCACTATTTGCAGGCAATTTCTTTACCAAATCTTCATGCAACTGCCTAGCCTTTTCACAAATAAACGAAGTCATAAGAGTATCTCCTGCTAATTGTTTCTCATTTATCCACACCAATAACAACTTCTCAACCTCTTCCAGTACTGGTGATCTCATTTTTGTCAGCATAGTTACTCCCTTTGCAACAACAGCATCTTTTATTTCATTTTTCTTGGCCACTATGGAACATAAGGTTGTGTAGGGTTTCTTATACATCCTGGACAGTTCGGCCACACTTGTACCACTTTCATATTGTTCAATGATGGTTTTCTTAAATTCAATCGTATTTCTCACCTTCTTTACCACAGGCTTGGCACTAGGAGCTTTCTTTGGAGCCATGGTAGCTTATTTAGTACTTGCAAGCACTAAAATAAATGGAATATTATGAAATATTTCGCTGAAGCACGTGAGGGGACCTTCGCTCACTGGTAAACAATGCCAGACTGGCTGCCGCCCTGGCTCACGCCGTGGGTACGCGTCCCGGACGAACTACGACTCGCGAGTCAACCTATGAAAAGCGAGTCCATGTTTATACGAAAATACCTCTATGATTGGCGAATTTTACGATTGCCGGGAACTACAAAAAGTGGGGGACCACTGTATATAATAGAACATTACGAATATACAACATTTTTGCATATTTTTGTTGTGAACAATTATTGTAAATGAAATAATGATGAAAATATTATTGTGTTGAATACAACAGTACCATATAGGTACAATGAACCATATGGTATCATTGCACCATATGGAATGATAAGGTACCATTGCACCATATGGTGCCATTGTACCATATTCTACTATATGGTACCATTGTATCATATTTATTTATTTTATGTCTTTGCAAACAGTATATTGAGATTTTATATTTACAATAGTGGGTTGCAATGCAAAGTGAGCCTCTATTATGCCTAGGCATTATGGGCCAACTTAACATTATTGGCTTACAGACTACTTAATACTAAGGATTTTATCATAGTTGATACAGTAGGACAGCAGTTATTTCATAGTTGAACAGTAGGTTATTAATTATAAGTGAATTAAATTTGTATAAGACAAAGGATATATTCATATAGTCTAAAATGCTTATTGTGAAAAACAATGGTTCAATTATATTCCTGTCAACAATGGATAAGAGGTTCCAAGTGATTGTTGAAGTTATGATGTGGGAGTACATAGGTGAGTATGTGTGTATTGAATATTTAGCATTTAGTCTAGGGTTATTAAGTGGCTTTTGAAAAGAGTCTATGGTGCCATTGTACCATATTTTAACATATGGTACCATTGTACCACATGGTACCATTGCACCCTATGGCACCATTGTACCATATAGTACTATATTGTACAGTCGTATTCAACACAATAACTGCACTAATATTTTCATCACTTTATTTACAATAAACTTGTTGAATTAGACACATGTGCAACTCTTGAGTATCTTTATTAAGGAAACGTTTTGCCACACAGTGGCTTCATCAGTCCATACAAAGGAGAAACTTGAAGAACAGGACTGACCACATCAACTCAAGGCTGAGGGACTGATTACCTCATTCTCCTCCTGTTCTTCAAGTTTCTCCTTTGTGTGGACTGATGAAGCCACTGTGTGGTGAAACGTTTCCTCAATAAAGATACCCAAGAGTTGCACATGTGTCTAATTCAACAACATGTCGGTTCTCTGAACCATTCATCTACAATAAACTTGTAAACAAGTTTTGTAAGCAATATAATGATAAACTTATTAGTGCAGTTATTGTGTTAAACGAGTGTACTCTTATACAATATACATTATATTCATCTCACAGGCCACAAATGTTACTAGAAAAAGAAAATAATTAGAAAAAAGAAAAAAGTATAAAAAACATAAAATAAAAAAATGCGATTTTGCGGAAGTCGCTGATATTGCCGCCACCCGGTCATTTTGGGTCAACTTCCCGCCGCTGTATCTCGGTAAGTACTGGTCAGAATTTTTTTTGTGTGTTATTGCCTTCACAAAAAAATTATCTTTAATTCTGTAAGAAACAATTTTTTTTTTTCTTCAAAATTTCTTGAACACTGGGGCACCCCTTCAGATTTTGGCCTTGGACCCTGAAAGGGTTAAATTAATATATTCAGCACTGAAATTCCCCTGGGACTTTTCATAGACCTTTGAAAAGCTTTTGATACAGTTGACCATGACCTATTCCACCTAAAACTCGAACATTATGGGGTCAGAGGACACACTCTTGATTACCTAAATCTTATCTTAACAATAGAAGCCAGTATGTATACACAAATGGAGCTAACTCCACCACACAACCTGTTCTTGTTGGAGTCCCACAGGGTAAGGGTAGTGTCCTTGGCCCACTTCTCTTTCTCATTTACATCAATGACCTTGTGTTTTCTCTCGTCCAAACCCAACCATACGAACAGACACTGTAAATGAAGAACTACTAAAAATATCTACATACTTGGATGAGTACCATTAAACTTACTCTCAATACAGATAAAACCTACTGCATGCTATTTAGAAACAGAGCTTCAAATGTGCAGCTAAACATATCGATAAAGGGTTCACCCATTTCAAGAGACACAGAGGGCAGATTTCTAGGTCTCCACCTTGACTGCAGTCTCAGATTCCAGACCCACATACAGCAAATATCCAAGAAAGTCTCCAAAAACAGTAGGCATTCTTTCAAAGATGCGGTACTATGTACCCCAATCAGCTCTTCTAGCTTTGTATCACTCTCTCATTTATCCTTACCTCGCCTATGGTATTTGTGCATTGGGTTCAACCACAGCAAATCACCATAAGCCATTAATAACCCAACAAAAAGCTGCAGTGTGATTGATTACCAACTCCTGCACTAGACAGCATACTCACCCGTTTTTCAAAAGCCTTAACTTGCTTAATATTCAAAACGTCCACACTTATTATTGTGCCTACTACACACACAGAACATTATACACAAATATTAACCCTCCTCTCAGACTCCTCCTTGATAACTACAACAGAACACACAGCCATAATACAAGGCACAATTCACTCTTCGATATCTCTCATGTCCGCCTCTTCCTATGCAAAAATACTATGCACATGAAGGGCCCAATGATCTGGAATTCTTGCTTAGAAATTACCTCATCACCCAAAATTAACCAGACGAACACTTTACTTAATACCTACCCGTTACTGAAAAGCTACTCAAGAAAACTCTTAAATAATTTAAGACTACTCAACTATTTGATCATTTACTTCAAACTTAAAATTGTTTCAATTTCATTATTGTGTGTTGTGCGTGATGATTGGTCAACCATTTACTCATTACTTCAAACTTAAAATTCTTTCAACTTCTTTGTTTCAAATTATGCTAAATTTTAATTCTGTATATTTTATGAACTATAGCAAAACTGTAATTATTCTCTATTGAACTTACTAAAGCCATAATAATAATATAATAATAATAATAATAATATAATAATAATAATATACTTACTACAAGTATATGTACATGGTATACAGGCCTAGCTGACATCAGTGACACCACTACTATACAGAGCATTTTCCACAAATTAGGTCATCATCCCACGATGCGACTCACACCAGTCAACTAACTCCCAGGTACCCATTTTACTGATGGGTGAACATAGACAACTTGTGTAAAGAAACACGCCCAATGTTTCTACCCGCACTGGGAATCAAACGCAGACTCTCGCCATGTGAAGCAAGAGCTTTAGCCACCAGGCCACGGGGCACCACAAACTACAGTGGACCCTCAACCAATGGCATTAATTCATTCCAGAGAGCTTGCCGTTAATCGAATTTGTCGTTGGTTGAATTAATTTTCCCCATAAGAAATAATGGAAATAGAATTAATCCGTTCCTTAGACCCCAAAGTCTGATTTTTTTTTTTTTTTTTTTTTTTTACATGAAATATACATTTCCTGACACGAAAACGAATGGGACATGCAAAATAAACAGTAATTAAATGCCACTTGCCTTTATTGTGGAGTTGTTGATGAGTGATGTGCCAACAACAGGGGAGATTCAGGATTGTTTATTGCTTGGATGAAGAATCCCCTTCCATAAAGACTTCAGGTACCAAGTCCTTTGGTGGGGTTGCCTCTCTTCTTGGTTTTTAATGCCACTAGGACCAGTTTGAGAGTCACTGGACCCCTGTCACACAAAATAACTGTCCAGAGAGCTCTGTTTCTCATGTGCCCTTAGGATTTCCCTAAAATGGGACACAAGAGTGTCATTGTACATGTTGCCAATGCGGCTTGCAACTTCTGTGACAGGATAAAATTCATTGATAAATGCTTGCACCTTTGTAAACATTGAACACATTTCCCTAGTCTTTGACGAAGTCATCTTCCTCTGTGTCTCTTCATCCTGCTCTGAAGAATATTCCTGAGATGTGATCTGTTGCTGTTGCACCTGAAGCTCTTGCAGGTCTGCAGTGGTTAGTTCATCCTCGTCCTTCTGCACCAACTCTTCCACATCCTCGTCACAAACCTCCAACTCCACTGACACAATAGCTTCCACTACTGGCATAGCCTCCTGAGGGTTAGCCCCAAACCCTTCAAAAATCCCTCTGTTCTACACATTCTGGCCACAGTTTCCTATAAGGTTTACACAACTGAGGATATTGAAGTGATCTTTCCAAAACTCTCTTAGGGTCAGTTGAGTGTCTGAGGTCACTTCAAAGCACTTTTGAAACACTGCTTTTGTGTAGAGTTTTTTGAAGTTTGAAATGACCTGCTGGTCCATGGGCCGGAGGAGAAGAGTTGTATTAAGAGGCTAAAACATCACCTTAAGGAAACCAAACTCCCCTGCAATTTCCTCTTGCAAGTTGTGAGGATGAGCAGGAGCATTGTCCATTACCAGGAGGCACTTGAGTGACAATTTCTTTTCCTGGAGGTAATTTTTCACAGTGGGGCCAAACACACCATAAAACCAGTCCAAGAAAAATTCCCTAGTGACCCATGCCTTACTGTTTGACCTCCACAGCACACACAAATTACCCTTGACGATATTGTTTTTCTTGAACACTCTGGGAGTATCAGAGTGATACACCAATAAAGGCTTCACTTTGCAATCATCACTAGCATTACAACACAACATTAATGTCAGCCTGTCTTTCATAGGCTTATGTAATGGGAGTGCCTTTTCCTCCTGAGTAATGTAGGTCCTGTTCGGCATTTTCTTCCAAAACAGGCCTGTTTTGTCACAATTAAACACTTGTTCAGGTTTTAAGTTTCTAGTGTCTATGTATTCCTTAAAGTTCTTCACATATTTTTCAGCTGCATTTTTGTCTGAACTGGCTGCCTCACCATGCCTTACCACACTGTGTATGACACTAGGAATCTTAAATCTCTCAAACCAGCCTTTGCTGGCCCTAAATTCATCAGCAGCAGCACTATTTTGAAATCATCATGCAACTTCCTTGCCTTTTCACAAATTATAGACTGAGAAACACTATCACCTGATAATCGTTTTTCATTTATCCATACCAATAACAGTCTCTCTACCTCTTAAATTATTTGCAGTCTCTATTTTGAAAACATACTTGAACCTTTCGCAACAACAGCTTCCTTGATTGCCTGTCTGTTCACCAAGATAGTACTGATGGTTGAATGTTATTTTTTGTCGCCTTTCCAACTCAGCCATATGGACTCCATTCTCGTATACCTTTCAATGATCTTCATTTCCATCGTAATTCTCACGCTTTTTAACACAGGCACTAGAAGCTTTCTTGGGGCCCATTGTGGCATATTTAGCGGTTACAAGCGCTAAAAACAGTGGAATAATTGAAAATATATGGGAGGCACACATGGAAACCAACCGCAACAGCTTGTAAACAATGGTACACCGAGTCGTGGAGTGTTCTGGACAAACGTCGTTGGTAGAGTTTTTAGCCGTTGGTTAAGACTTTTTTATGGCAAAAAGCTCCATAAGACGAAGTTGCCGTTACTTAATGTCGCCGTTAGTCGAGGGTCCACTGTAGTTGAATATTCAGTTTTCTCGTATTCATTGTAACTCACCTAAAGACAATATGTAAAATTACTTCACTGTTATTGCATTATTAATCTTAAGTATGCCCAAAATGCTCTACACATAAAGGGGCTTTTGGCATATTTTCCAAATTGATACACTCCTTTGTACAAACATGTATCATGCTAAAATAAACTTGATATTATTAAATTTGTTGGTGTGTCTATAGGTTGTATGTGAGGTTCATCTGGTTTAGTTAAGTTTTATCTCTGTTTCTAGACAGTTTTCTAGATTATTATTATAATCAAGGGGGAAGCGCTAAACCCGGAGGATTATACAGCACAGTTTTCTAGAGCCCAAATTTTGGAGAGGGTTTGCCAGGTCCTTTTCATATCACCTTTTCTTTCAATAAATCTTTTCATAATACATTTGTTTTGATTTTTGTATTAGTTTTGTGAGTATTGATGTTTATCGTCTAGCCAGTTCTTTAGTAATCAGGCCTACTCTGAACAGTTTTTCAAGTTGGTGCATTTTTTCAGTGGATTTGAGAATACTATTTGTTAGCAATGGGCTGTTTAGTCTCTTTGCTGTGATCTGCTTCATTTTGATCTGACATTGCATATTGTAGAGGTTTTGGGTTTTATGTAAAAAAGTTTTGAAATCTTTGTCAGTATTATTGATGTCAGCTAGCTCTCTCCACCAGTCAATGTCACCTAGTGCTAACATTAAATTATTTACCAATGGCTCATCATGCAGGCAAAATGAGATCTTTCTCAAGTCTTGAGGCAGTTTACATAAGTTGGTTATGAGAAAGGTGGGGTAGTGGTCTGTAGTGTTGTCTTTGATTATACCTGCTTGTAATGGAGATACCGTGTTGGTCCATATATGATCAAATAATGAGCACTTGCCTTGGAGATTCTTGTTGGCTTAGTTATAGAAGGTAGCAGCAAGAAGTTGTTCATAGTGTTTGTAAAATCAGTTACTGGAGGATCAGTTGCCTGAATAAGGTTTATGTTGAAGTGTCTTGTATCAGGTGGTGTATATTCAACTCTGACTCAGTTATCATGTTTTTAAGGTTACCACTAAAAGTGTAAGTATTTGTGTGTGGTAATCTGTAGACTGCTCCAACTGTTATAGGTTTTTTAATTTTTTTGATGTGAATTTAGCTATTATATATTCACCATTGTCGTCCCTTGTGCAAGTAAATTACTTGCATTTCAGTTCATAGTAGTAGATGACAGTGCCTCCTCCTAGTTGGTCAGGCCTGCAGTTATATATATATAGCATTGTAACCAGGCATGGTAAATATGTCTGTCAAATCTTGCTTGAGCCTGGTTTCAGTAAGAAAAATATAAGTTATAGAAGCATTTAGAGACTTCAGTAATGCAAAGAGGTCATCACAGTGTTTACTCAATGATCGAACATATAGCTAAAAGCCGTAATG